CGCGACCCCTGGCCGTAGTTGCTCCCCCCAAAACAGCCCCGCCAGAAAAATCCCCGTCACGGGCTGGGCACCGATGGGACCCGGGAGCGGTTGCTTCCGAAAGTAGGTGGGAGCCTCCCGCCAGAGCTGGCATTCCCAGGGGAAGAGCTGCAGCAGAGCAAGGCGTTTGCACTAAGTGATCACATTTATTTGAATATTTTTTTGTGTGTGTGTGTGTTCTAAAATCGGTTACAGAATAAATACCTGTGCCTTATAGCAGGAAGTCCACTTTTTTTTTATACAAAGTGCTTGTTACAGGAAGTTGCATCAGCGATACGCAGGAGGGGGTGCATTTCGGCCACACTTCCCCTCCTGAAAACTAGAACAGATTTTTTTTAATTATTTATTTATTCGTGTTTTTTTTTTTCTTTTTTTAAGTTTCTTTTCCCTTTTTTTGTGCATTAAATTTCCTGCCATTGTGTATTTACAAATCTCTGAACGAAGGAAAAAAAAATGCCAATATGCATGAGAAGTGGCCTCATAACACAAAAAAAAAAAATCAGCCTTTAAAAAAAAAAAAGTAACAAACCCAAAATCTACAAGTATCGTTTCATACTGAATCAATGATAGATTTTTTTCTTTTTTTCTTTTTAAAAAGGGAAAGACGGGGGTGGGGAAAGGGGAAAAACTGAAGCAAACCAGAAAAAATGAACTCGGAAAAATGGAAAGAGAGAAGGTGCCATTGTCCCTTCTGAAGTTTTCCAAAGGCAGAGAGGAGCGAGGAAGAGCGCAACGCACAGACCCAGATGCCCGACTGAAATCCCCATCAATTTCTTCTCAGTAATTTCTCCCTCGTCTTTTCCCAGTGAGGGGCAGGAAGGACTTTCCAAAATTAAATTAAAAAAAGGAATTAAAAGGAAAAAAAACCCATTATTATTTCATCTTAAAAGCACAAAAAAAAAACCAAAAAAGAGAGAGATGAGAGAACAACCCTCCCCAAAATCCTGGAGGGGTGTGAGGCAGGGAAAAAATTGGGTTTGATTTAAAAGGGGGAAGAAAAAAAAAAAAAAGCCAAACCAAACCAGACTTTTCTCTCCGAATGCGTCATCGAGCAGGACTCTCCAGAGAGTGTGACGGTTAACTGGTGACGTAGTGTTTCGCAGATGGCTGGCCGTAGACCCTATAGAAATCCTGCCGCCCGTGCTGCTGGGATGCGTCAATCCATTCCCTCACGGCAAGTCCCGGGAGTGACTGGGGGACGGCAGGGGCAGGCGGCAGCGGGTGGGAGTACTCCTGCGAGGAGACCGTCCAGGGGAAGTGCCCCGACCGCGGGTAGGGCTGGTGCCCGCTGTGGTTGGACACGGAGGAACAGTAACAGTTATCCACGGAGCAGACAAGGATTTTGCGCCCGCCGTACTGGGAGAGCACGGACTGCTGAGATGACGTGGTGTTGGGGTAGTGAGATGGGTTGAAGACGGAGCCCGAGTGCACTGGCTGCGGGCCGCTGGGAAGTCCAACTATGTGCTGCGTGGAGCTACAAGGCACCATGGCTTGTGCGGACTGCCCCTCGCCAGCCGAAGCGCCCTGGCTCATGTACTGGCTCGCCACAGTCCCAGACGATGGCTCGAGGAAGCTGCCCTCGGGGAAGGCGGTGGAGTGCTTGCGCTTCTCCGCGCCGGAGTTGCTGACGGTGCAGGGGTACATGGGGATGCTCTGGAGGAAGGGGACGGGGGTGCTCAGAGGACCTGCGGAGGGGAACAGGAGAGGGGGGCTGCGTCAAGCACGGCACAGCACAGCTCCAGGGTGCTCCAGCTGCTGGTCCGAACCCGCAGCGAAGTCCCAAGACCTGTGCTCCAGCCCTGCACGAGCAGCAGATCCCCTGGCCCTCCCCGGCAGCGGCAAACTGGGCACAGAGCTGTGCACAGGTGAATTTGCAGGTTCTGCTCTGCAACCTTGCTGGCAGGCTGAGTGGCCCCAAGCACTGCTCTGCAAATATGGGCACAGACTGAGCCCATGCACAGCTCATGACCATGGTCCATAACAGGATCAGAGCAGGACAGCCTGGGTCACAAACCCAAATCCCCCAAGGAGAGAGTACTGGGAAGCCTCTGCAAGATGTGGTCTGCTTCCAGGCATGGGCTGGGGGCTACAGGACGATGCCGGCCCCTGGCCATGACTGCACAGGCGCCAACCCCCAACTTTCCACTGACTTTTCCTGAAAATGGACAGCCCCTTTGCTGTGTCACCCCAAAACACAGCCATTTCACAAGCAGAGGGAAATGTCCTGGGGAGAGCCAGGAGCTGGCTTCATAGCATCTTCACGCCCCTGCTGACCGCAGAGGGGTTCCCAGGGGTCCCTGCACCCCAACAGCTCTCCCCATCCTCTTGTACTGGGATTGCAGGGCATCCAGCTATGGATACAGGAGGTATGGAGGTCCCATGCACCCCCGCACCCCTCAGGCTTCACCCACCTTCCAGCAACTTCCTGAGCTGCTTCTCCTTCTTGGCGATCTCGTTCAGGAAAAGCTTGGAGTTGAGGTGGCCAATTTTGGGTGGGGGCAGGCTACCACCTGTACAGTTCTGTGTCCTGTTGGGGACAGCGGGCAGAGAGGAGAGGCATGAGGGACAAGGTACACTCAGGGGAGGGTCAGATGGGTCCTTCCCCCACACCCTCCTGGGGTCAAACCCCTTCTCTTGGGCAGCAAGCTGGCGCGCTCTAATGGGCAGGACCTTCCCCGTCCAGCTTTGCTGTGAACGTCCCATGCCACGGCACACCTCCCACAGCCCCTGCATCCCCGCCATGGCCACCCCAGCTCGCCTCTGCTCCACTAGCACTGGTTTTAACCCCCTGCCCTGCCTCTGCCCCAGAAGAGCTGGACTGAGCCCTGCGCCCCAACGCAGCTGGTCCCACCTTGGCTGGGGTGGCAGGTCCCAGCTCTGCTCTTCCACAAGCACACCACTGTTTCCCCTAGTCCAAGGGGGAAATCTGGGGATTTTTTCATCCTCCCAGACACAGAGGGAAACTAAGGCATGGAGCTTGCCTCCCCCAGGCCCTGTAGCAACCCTGGCCCTTCTCCTCCTCCAGACATTGTGCTGTTGTCACCCTTGCAACAGTCCCCCTTCCCCCCAAACATGCCTGCCCCGCCACACTCACCTGTCCATTAAGATTTTCACAGACTTGGTGTTCTAGAAGAGGAAGGATAAGCTCTCATCAGTGAAGCCAGTTCCTGCCCCAGCGGCCACCTCTCTTTCTGGTGTCACCTTCTGTGGCCCCCCAGGAGGTGACAAGCTGACCAGGGGTGTGAAGCCCCTTCCCCCCCCAGCACGGGCTGCCCTTGACCCATCTCCAGCCACAGCACCTCCTCATTTGAGGCCAACACTGAGCCTGCCCAGCTCTTCCTCGCCTTCTCCCACTGCTGAGCCCTCTGCAGGCATCAGCTAGCCCTGTCAGTGCCCCCAGCCCACTCCCCACCATGGCCACGCCTCCCCAGTGCTCCCTGCGCAACCATACCTCCCCACAGCCCCCATCCCAGCCCCGGTACAGGCAGCTCATCTCACCTTCATGAAGTTGATGTCCTCAGTTTTGTCGAACATGACCTGGACAGAACTGAGGAGCTTCTTGGCCTCCTGCATGCGCTCATTGAGGTGGAGGACCTGGGCCGCATTCTCGTTGCAGAATTTCGCCTGGGCCTTGTCCAGGATCTCCATGGTCTTCCGCAAGTCCTCGTCCAAGATCTGGTGCATCTTCTCATACTGCAGGCGCACTTCGTCCTTCAGCTGGTTCACCTTCTCCTGGGGGAGAGGAGCAGGTTCAGCTTCTTATCATCACACCTCCACTGTGATGCCCCAGGACACATGGGTCCTTTCCCCAACAGGGGTGGCTGTGACCCTGAGCTGCACCACAGCTCTGCTCTCCTGCAATGCCCACACAGACCAAACCCTGCAGTCAGCTGCCACATGGGACTCCTATGTGCTGGAGATCCAACAGGGCCACTGTGGAGGTTTGGCTAATCCAGCAGATCCCTGGGACCTATCTCCTGGGGTCTAGGTGGGGATGGCCTCCGGAAAGCTAATGCCAAGCAACAACCTGCTGCACCACTGAGGCAGAGGTGCTCCCTGGAAAAAGCTTGCCCATCACCATCCTCATCCCCATTCCCATCCCCATCATCGTCCTCATCCTCACTCCAGGCTGGGGTCACATCATGCTCCAGAGCCCTTCCCTCCATGCTCTGGGAGGCCAAGGGGCTCCAAGGACCATGAGCTGATTTTGTTTTACCCGTGTCCCACCAAAACACTTGTTTGCATCTCTTCCACCTCCTGAGTATTTCAGTGGTCTATCTGGGGATCTCCCATCTCCAGACTCTCCCCTTCCACTCAGGATGAAGTGGGTGGTCCGGGGAATACTGCGCTGAGCTGAGGAGGGGAAGGGGCACCTGATAGTTAAGGACAGCCTTGCTCCTTGCCTCCCAACTCACCCCAGGACTCACGAGGGTGTAGGGCAGCCCCAAACACATTTCATCCCCAAAAGTACGACTGCCAGGACAGGAATTGAGACAGGAGGTCTGGGCAGCTGCTCTCCCGCTGCGTGTCCTCCCTGCTCCCTGCCCATCTGGCCCCTATGCCCTGTGAGCCTGTCCTCATTGTGCCATGGGGTGACAGTCCCCAGGGTTGGCTGCAGCAGGGTGAAGCACCAGTTACCTCGACCAGCCGCTTGTCTGATTCCAGCTTGTAGAGCTGCTCTTCGATGTCTTGCTCCCGCTCCTCCAGGCGGTCCTGCTGCTTCATCAGCATCTTCTGCAGCAACAGGAGAGAAAAGCAGGCATCAGAGCCTGGTGGCCACATACACCAGGAAGCTTCGGTGACACTGGCACCAGCTCTGCCCATGTGGTTTTGAAGGGACAAGGCTTCTTCCCAGCAGGATGCCATCGGCGAGCTGAAAGCCCACACGTGGCTGCTAGAGGTGTAAACCTTGCTATTTCAATGGCCACGCAGAGGGGCTGTGTGTGTAGGGCTGCCTTATCAGCTGGGGACCTTGACTTGGGTACCCTGGATGGGCACAGCCCCTTGCCAAGCCCTGGAGACCCTGGGGGGGACATGGAGAGGCTCATCTCCTACTATGGCAGCACGGTTTCAGTGCCCATCACCCATTGCCGGCAGGCTCCCTTGAGACATCGCTACCCCCTCGCACCCCCGTACGCCATGCCAAATCCTTTCTCCCTTCCCCGCCTCCGTGACAAGCCCCAGAGCCAGTGTCAGCGTAATTGGGAGGGACAGAGAGAGGAGGAACGGAGCCTCCCCCCACCACGCTGCCAGCCCCTGGCCCCCACTCCTCAGGGCTGGGCCTAGGCCACCAGGCTCGTAAGTGGGACAAAACCTTATCCCCAGCAATCAGCGCGAGCACCTCGCTCCTGCACCCTTCCCCGGCCATGATGAAACCCACTGCCCATGACAGAAGGGTGCTACCCCTGCAAGCAGGGGCAGGGCTTCCCAAAACACCCCTCAAAATGAACTCCTCATTCTTCCTCACTACAGTTATCCTGGGGGAAAGCCACCATACTGGTGGGTCAAGGAGAAGGACTTCGCCTGGCATGGAGACGTGGCGTTAGAGATTCTCAATGATGGGGGCAAGGTGGGAAGAAACAGGCAGTCAGGATGAATTTTGAGGGGATTATTGCTATTATAAACCACTGCTCAGGGATTTATAATCAAGTAATTAATTCCTGGATGAGGCGGGAGGGGGAGGGTGGCAGAGGCACTGCTGGGATTAATTGCATTGCAGGGAAGGGCTGTCACCTCCGACTGAATTCAGGAGCAGGAAGGCGAAGCCTCCTCCCTCCCGTTGTTTTTCATAAGGTCTCGGGCACCTCCAGCCTCACTGCTGCTGGGCTCCTACCAGTAATAATAATGGGGAGCTAAAAAACCCAGCTTCCCACTCACAGTCACACTCCACATGAGTGCTCAGTGCCCACCAACCCACGCACACACATGCAGACGGACAGACAGACAGCGCATCCACTGAAACAGGGTCCGAGGCGCAGCAACAGTGACGTGGACCCCCAGGCAAGGGGGCATGTTCGCTGGCGCGTGCATGCAGAAGCACATGGGCCTGCAAGCAAGGCATCCAAGGACACTGCTGCTGCTGTTTTTATGACCAGCTGAATAGGTGGGAGCATCCACATGGAGAAAGACTTGATGCATATATTAAAAATCTAATCTTTTCATCATAAAAGGGTTGTTACTTGCGCTGCTGTGGAGATAGGAGGCTGCAACCGACTCCCACCTTAAATATGGTGGGAACTGAGCTCCGGCGAGCCGGTGCAACACCGCTTGCTTGGAGAGAGCCAAGGGCACAGGCAGGAACCACATCCCAGGTCCTGTGCTGGCAGCCGGACCAGGGATTGCTGGTGGCTTTTCTGGGGGCTCAGCAAGGGTTTTGGGTCCAGCACCAGGCAGAGCTGTTGGGCAGGCAGGCAGCAGCCCTATGCGGCCGGGCAGGGAAGCGGTGGGCAGCAACCTGCTCCAGCAGTGGCACAGGCAGGTGCACGTCAACATGACGTGCTCTCAAGCACTGCTGGCTGGAAATACGGTTTGCAACATCCCTCTGCAGAGGCCTGGTGTGGAGCACAGTGCACCCGGCTCTGGATTCTGCCCCAGCACCCACAGGCTGGAATTTCCCCAGCAAAACTGCAGTCGACTGATGGGAAAGCGCCCGCTCCAGGGAAGGAGATGCATTCCCACATCCCTGCTTGCAGGAGGCCAATCAAGCCCAGGAGCCGGGGCAGGTCTTGCAGCACAGGCTGTTTCTCGCTCTTCAAGCTGGAGAGCCAAAAGACATAGCAAGCCTTCGCACCAAGCCCTTCCCTATGCCTCCCTCCCTGCTGGCAGAGACTTGCCGTCTCCGCTGCGAGCAGCCAGACCCACCCCGCACCAGCCCGCCAGGAGGATGGCCGAGGGGGCCCCCGGGAGCAGCTGGGTCCCCTGCCCACCTCCCCTGGCCATCAGCTGGGGCAGGGCCAGGGAAAAACGCGGGATGGGATCCAAGGCCCACAGCTCACCGGGCACAGAGGCCAAATCCCCATCCCGCCCCAGCGTATGCATCAGGCATCTGACGTGGAGCCACCCCGCAGCAGCGTCTGCTTGCCTCCCTCCAATGCTGCCGGGATGCTCTCGTGGGGAAAAGCACGTTTTCCCATTGCTGCCAGATGCCGGGCAAGTGCAGGCCACCCTGCCAGCCCCACCAGTGTGAGGGATCCCAAGGGATGGACCCAACAGCTCCAGACATGCACGTACCATCGTCCCCTTCCACTGCCCTGCAGCTGCCATGGCAGAGCTGCCAACCTTTGTGTTTTGTAACAAACCTCAGGGTGCTCCACTCCTGGAATCATACAATTATGTGAAATCACAAATATATACATAAATACATATAAATAACTTAATAGCACCTCAGAGTTGGAAAAAGTGACCAAAATCTAACCTAAAGCCATAGAAATCAGAGAGAATAGAGGACATGCAGTGTTTTCTTTAAATCTCACATTTGAGCCATTCTCTTGATTTTAGGGTGGTTAAAAACCATACGTGCCTGGGATTGCAGCAGGATGGGAAAGCTTTTCACCCACGGCAATCGAAACCTTAACAAGACACACGGTATGAACTACCCCTTCTGGCACCGAGGGGCAAAATCTCATTGTCTCTGCAGCACAGCCTGAATTCCTTAGGTATTTTGAAAAGGAAAATATATCCCTTCCCCTTCCATCCCCTCCCAAATCTGGTATTTCTGAAGTCATGAACTCCTCCTCCTCCTTCTCCAGGATCAGAATTTCTCAGGGCAATTTCTCATATTTCATGCATGACCTTGATGCTGGGAGAACTGCAGCTCCCTCCGTTACAGACGCCCTTCCTGGGCTCCAAGCAACTCCATAATCCCAGTTTGTCTTTTCAGAGACACGCCACCAGTTTGTGAAACGGCCGCCAAAAACGCACTGTATTCCAACCCCAGCTGAGAGTGAACTCATCTAATTAATTAATAAGTTAATCTGCAGCGAGGGTAAGTGGCTGCTCCACCCCAACCAACTCTGTAGGCCACAGCGAGATGGGGCTAGTTGCTGGACACCAGTTTATTCTGCTGGAGTTGTGTGTAATCTCCCCCCCTCCTCACGGAAAAAATATAAAGGCAAGGGGAGGCTGAGCCCTAAGAGGAGGTTAGTGGGGCTCTCTGCAAACATGTCGTGGGCATCAACCCTGCGCAGGAGCAGGACTGCTGAAAGCGGAAGGAGAAATGAGTGGAGGCTATCCTTTGCTCACTGATCAGAAGCCCCACCACCAGTGGAGCAGGGTGCATCCCGGGGAGCAATCATGGCAAGTTGGATGGGTTCGGTGTACCAAGGTGACGCACTGGGACAGTAATGCTACTTGGAGGGCCGTCTCTGCGGGATGCAAAGCACGCGCTGCAAGGTCTCATTCCAGGGAGGACGCGCACAGCTGGTCCCCGCGGGATCATGCTGGGGAAAGGCTTGCTGACCTTCACTACCCGCCCAGCGCTTGCTGGGAGGAAACCACCGCTGGGGAAACCATCCTCGCCCCACATACACCTTACTGCACCTCCCCGTCCATCCCCCCCGAACCTGCCCAGCGGCTGCTCCAGCATGGGACACGTCCAGCCCCCCAGGCAGGGGACGTCTGCCAGGCGACAGGACTGCCTCGACAGAGCTTCTGCAAGATTAAACGCCTGCAACCGCACGACAGAAAGTTGGTAATAAAGACTTTAACAGCTCGAATGATACCGGGCATCTGGGCTCCTCATCCAAAAGTCATTATAGGGCTGCAGCACCACAAGCGTCAGCTGCGTTACATGCATGCGTCCAGCTCAGCCAGCCGGGCAACCTGCCACTGCAAAGGGGGGCACTGGGGTGTGGGAAGGAGCCCACACCCACCCGAGACCTCCCAGGCAGGGAAAAATCTGCAGGCAAGATGTCTCCCTGGCTTGTCTCAGGCTGGTCTCACCACTGTCCTCTCCTGAAGGACAGGGCTAAGTCTGCGGTCGCTGCTGAGCCTGTGATAAGGGCGGATTATCCCCCTGACTGCCTGGAGCCCAGCACTCTCCTCATCCCACCTCCGAAAGCCCCCAGCAGACCATGGCCCTGGCTCTGGCATTGGGGCAGCAAAATCCCACGACATGCCCCAAGGTTTCACCTGCTCCGAGGATGGCCAGGGTCCCTGCGTGCCTCCCGGGGAGAGCCATCAGGGAAGAGCCTGCAGCACCCCTTCCCCAGGGGCTCAAGCACTCACCAGCCCCTGCCCGACTCCCAGCAGGATCAGGAAGGAGCCTAGCAGCTTCACTAAAACTGCTGAGCAGCTCTGGTTTTAAATGAGAATGGGAGCACTGAAAAGTCTTACTGTGTTCACGGGGGAAATGAAGCCCATGCAGCTTCTCTGATGCTTAATAAGGGTTGTGCATCCTTCAGGGCTGTTCCACCCCACAAAAGCAATCATGTTCCTGCACACTGACCTGCAGGATGCTTCCAGGATGCTAATTCCCAATAAACTGGGCTGAAACTGGCCGTGGGTTTGGAGGCTACTAGAGGAGGGCACAAGAGGAGGGCAGGTGGACAAACCACAAGAGCACACGGCCCTTGTTCCCGTAGGAAACTGGGGGGAGCAGGGAGCCAGACTGCCCCACAGGGTGCCTTTAACCACAGCTGGACGGCTGGCCCAGGACAGGCGCGCTTGCTTCTCTGCCTCCCTCCTTCCTTCTCTGCGCCCAGGCCTTTCCCTCGCCGCCAAATCCCAGCCACCGAGTGAATAAGGACATTGTTTGCAGCCACCGGAAAGCCAGAACGGAGGGAGCAGCTCAGAGCACGAGGGGGAGGAAGGGCGAGGAGGAGGAGGAAGGTGGAACCGGAGCGAGGAAGCTGCGAAGCGCAGATGCC